CACGTTGGATAAGCGAACACATTTTGATACCGATACTTAAACTATGGAACGGAAACTGATAGTGAACCCTGCAAGAATTTCAAGCGCTGGTGGATGTTTATAAGGTGAAAATATCAGAAAGCACCCTGTTAGGTAAAGCCGCACGAGTCGCAGCCGAAACTCAGATGTTACTGAGCTATCCACACACGCAGGCAGGGTTGAAAGAGCCCATGATAAAACAATTATTAATGAAAGACAATTAAGAGATCTGTTGAGACAATTACCCACAGGCGCAGGATCTGAGACGAGTGAAGGCGGAGATCAGGGAAATTTATTAGATTCGGTGCAAGAGAATCTACTCAAAGACTTGATTCGTTCGATAAAAACAGTCAAAGAACCTACCGTCGTAGTCGAAGAGGCATTGACCACGCCTTCGACTTCCAAGAAAAAGATAGTGAAAAGAGGTCTTTTACATCCAAGAAATGATTTTCTACACCGGTAGCAGTACCCCTAGGCCCATCACTTTTCCTTTTACTCTGAGAAGTCTCAAAGACCTACCTTCGTCACCCATTCTTACGGGAAAACGGTTGTTACCTTCGACTCCTCTGACTGGACTAAAGGCGGGGAGCTCTCATAAACCCTCTCCCAAAATCAAAAAGACCACCCAGCAAGTGTGGGACCCGTGGGATGTGAGAGGTTGGGATCCCGTAAAACATGCCGAACTCCAACCGAGCGCGCCGAAAGACAAGGGTAAAGGGAAGGGGAAGGAGAAGAAGTAAAAGAGGGCAGTCTGGAGGAACAGTCGATCTTCAAAAATGGATTAATAAACTGGGTGTAGAATTTCATTGGCCCGCCTATCAGTAGCCTAATTTGGCCTGGTACCAAATTAGCCATGCGTCTTAAACGCGGGGATCCGGGTATTAATCGTCTCGATAAGTTAGCTAAACAGCACGATATCGATTATAGTAAAGGTAAAAATCTAGCGGATAAACACGCGGCCGATCGTAAAATGATTACCGGTATTCAACGATTCGGTAACAACACGATGACTGAGCGCATCGTAAAACGCATCATGCAAGCTAAAGTAAAAGCTGGATTGTAATGAGTTCTTAAAGCAATAATGCGCGTTGAAAAGGAATCATTTGTTTGTGTCTTGATTGGAGTGACGATGGATTCCTTTTATTTGACCCTTTCGAGTAACGATGGTAGCATCAGATATTTTCCCGGAAACAACAACAGTTATTGGAAAAATCAACTGAATTCGCGCATCGATTTACAGGAGGACTGGGTAGTGGGATTATCGAGTATGTCCTTACCTCACGAAACCACGCACAAGAACCGTTGGGAACCCTTTTTGAAAGGATTAAAAGACGACGAGGTGCTTCTCACCACCATTCGCTTGCAAATAAGTCCGCAAAACGCGTTTAAAACATCACGTTTTCTATCACCTATGGCGACATCAAAAGGTATACATTAGATACCCCCCTACGATCTCTTAGAAGCCTTCTTTCGAAGAACGAATGCAATTTATATTGCGTATGGGGTCCGTGTGGGGGAGTCATTTTTCGAATGACAAAACAGTTAAATTCGACGTGCATTGCGATCGAGAGAAAGGAACCGTCATAGTGTCCGGTGGGCGCATAGATCCGTCCCATGTAAGAGATTATCGCATCCGCAGTGACGTATATTTCGAGTTACCCAGACAGCTCTGCAAGTGGGCTGGGTGGACGGAAAAAATCGCATATCCGATACACAGATATTCCTGGGAAGCTACAAGATAATTATAATGTGTCACGTCCTGGTCCTAATCTCTCTATGACGAAACGCGGTACACGGCGGAGTTACGATAGAATGGTCCATAATCTCAATCTCTCATTTATTCCCAGGAAAGATAAATCGACAAGTGACACGCATCGATATTTACTGAGTGATATCATCTGGGCATTTAAATACATCGCCCTCCCTACACCCACCGCGTTACCCAGTTCACGCAATGTTTACGTGTATTCCTCCTTGTGCGCATCATGGGTGATCAATCCACCGATTTATTACGTCAAATTCCTTACCAGGAAAGAGCCCAAGGAACGTCTTATTTCGAACCGAAACACGTTCACTACATCCCCTTACGAAATAATAATTTCGACGTCATCGAAACGCAAGTGAGCGAATCGACGAATAACAATCTTGCCGAGTTACCCGAAAAAGGCCCTAGCATATTGACGCTGCATTTTAGAAGAGTTAAATAGACACTCCACCGGACACATCAGTCATTTTTCTGCACGCTACAACATGAGTAAATTTTACTTGACGTTACCGAGTAAGGATGGTAGTGTCAAATATTTTCCGGGAAACACCAAGAGTTCTTGGAAAAATCGACTCAACAGACGTTTGGATGTGGAGGGGGTCTTGGAAGTAGGAATATCCAGCATTTCGCTTCCATCCGAGTCGCTCTTGATACCTTACCTGAAAGGGTTATCTGAAACGTCCATTATGATGAGAACATTTCGAACGATTTACCGTTCGAGAGGGAATCTCGATCAGAAGATATTCACAGAGGTTGAGTATGGCGATTTAAAGCATCGACGCATGGAAACGGTGTACTTAAAGCCTTATTCGAAGCAGAATGGTCAAAATTTCTGGATCAACCTCAAAATTACGATTCGATAGTTCATTCCGGAAATAAACCGTTTCAATTTGATACGATTTTGAACGAAAGGGAGCAATCACTTACGGTGACAGCAGCGAAAGTACCAGAAAATCTCTTTAGTTCTTTCCATCACCTTAGGGATAATGTGACCTTTCATTTAGGGAAAGATTTGTGGCTAAATTTTGAGTGGGTTCAGAATATTACCTATGATGGAGAACCCATCTATACAAACGGGCCCAATCTCGTGTTGGGAAAACGCGGTAACAACTTTACCGAAGCCAGAAATCCTAAGGATTCAGACTACATTCCCACAAGATATGGAATGACGTGAAAGGTTCCGACAACGTGATCGTCGACAGTATCATTTTCTATCTCCACGAGTTTACTCACACATTCATCCATCTTAAAGAAAGCACCTACGCTTTACCTCTACTCCTCTCTGTGTGCCCCGATGATCAGGGGCGATCAGACCACCGATCTGCTACGCACGTTTCAGTATCGTCCTCTATTGAAAGGGAGTTATCACTACGAACCGAAACACATTCATTACATAGCTTTGCGAGATCAATACATCGACGAGGTGGAAACGCAACTCAGCGAATCGGAAAATAATAATCTGGCGCAATTTACTAAAGACGGAGCAAGCATCGTCACGCTACATTTCAGAAGGGTTAAATAACTCGTCACGAGTGTATGTGTAAGCTGTCACATCATGGTAGGCGTGACGAGAGGTATCTCCAGGGGAACGGGAAAAGTCACAAGAAACGAAGAAAACCCCCGCTATTTAGTAAACGACGAAAAAAAGCAACACAAGTGGGACGTGGGTTCTTGGCTTCCTTCAANCCATTAAGTCAAGGGAGGGGCGATCAGACCACCGATCTGCTACGCACGTTTCAGTATCGTCCTCTATTGAAAGGGAGTTATCACTACGAACCGAAACACATTCATTACATAGCTTTGCGAGATCAATACATCGACGAGGTGGAAACGCAACTCAGCGAATCGGAAAATAATAATCTGGCGCAATTTACTAAAGACGGAGCAAGCATCGTCACGCTACATTTCAGAAGGTATACTATCCAAGTGGTAGCATACTATCTTTTCGCGGAAACTTGGGGCGCCAGACTCGGTTACCCATGGGTTTGCTAGATGATCTAAGACCTGCGAACGCCGTTTTACTAGCCAAAGTCGGGAAAGGTTGCATGCGTTTGAAGGAAGCCAAGAACCCACGTCCCACTTGTGTTGCTTTTTTTCGTCGTTTACTAAATAGCGGGGGTTTTCTTCGTTTCTTGTGACTTTTCCCGTTCCCCTGGAGATACCTCTCGTCACGCCTACCATGATGTGACAGCTTACACATACACTCGTGACGAAATGTATACTTGTATACTATACATGTATACTATATGTATACTATACATGCAACCTTTCCCGACTTTGGCTAGTAAAACGGCGTTCGCAGGTCTTAGATCATCTAGCAAACCCATGGGTAACCGAGTCTGGCGCCCCAAGTTTCCGCGAAAAGATAGTATGCTACCACTTGGATAGTGTTAAAGACGGGGGTATGCTATAAAAAAGACAATGTAGTCCGTTTAGTATACAAGATGTCTAGGGGGGATTTGAGAAAATTAAATCACTGTAGATATCTTTTGAACAATTTTTTTATTGGAAATAAATCATTGTTTAATACACTAAAAGGTTTACGAATTCTTTATCCTCTGCATGTAATCGTTTGTATCCGTAAGGAAACGACCTAAATATACCACTGTCCATGACTCGCTTAACAAACACGAGTCGATATGATTTGACTCGTGCTTCTGTCCGTATCCTTTTCTTGACGGGATAATGGACAAAATGCAGGGGGTTCACTATATCCATTTTTCTCAGGTCTTCCAGGGGGTGACGTATTTCGTCCAAGATGTCTTGTTTCATGACGTCGTAAGTGAGTTGCGCCATACCACGCACGTTTAATGAAAACCCTTTGACTTTTATGCAAGATTTTCCTTGAGCGGTGACGTACCCATAATTCTTGGCTCCCGCCGAAATGAATTCCACGATATGATCCCGTTGGTCTAACTCGTTGGTCATATCGCCCAAATAATCTCCCAAAGCAATTTCTGTCTCTCCCGGCTTCCACTTGTAGACCACCGAATCGGTGTCGTAATAGAGGACGCGCTCTTGCAAAATTTCCAGTGACTCATACAGTTTAAGGCGTTCCTGGCACGTGGTGAAGGCGGCAATAAAGACATTTGTAGCCCGACCTTCGGGAGGGTCTTCGTGTTCTCGTTTAGCCACCACTTCCACCAGTTCCGGGGATAAGATTCCTTGTACCTGTTCCAGCGGGTCATCGATCAGGTTTAAAAGAGAGGCGGGATGTGTGATTTGATACGCTTTCCATTTATTACAATTCTGACCAAACTTGCCCCAGAACGAATTCAGCATGAGTTTGGCCGTGGCTTTCCTCCCAGGGTTTTTAGCGATCATGGTAGGATCCGGGTCTATTCCTTCACGCTCTTTATACTGGCAAAGATAGTCGCCTTTTTGCTCTTCCGTCTGACACCAGGCGGGATACCCGCTACTTTCCTGCTTGATTTGGAGCCAGGTGTCGACGTAAGGGGCTAAGAGACCCCCCCGTTTATGCTGGAAATGCCATACTTCGCGGATTTTGATGAGTGTGTACCCCATCTCGATGGCTTTGTGAATTTCGGGCGTACACCAGGTTCCGCGCAGCATGCGTTCCTCGTCTGTGTGGGGACAAATGTAATGAG